GATTGAGCAGAGCTACACCTGCACTGCCTTCACTCACAGGGTGGGTACACCTGCCARGTGCTACCTACCAGAGCATCCATCTCAACCCTGGAGTGCCCGAAATAGGGTGAAACTGAACCACAAAGTCTACTTAGGAGCACTGCTATTGCACAGATGCTAACAGACTGTCCAAGGTGCCAGACCTGAGCTAGTCAGAGGCAAAAGTCTCCTGACTGCTTTCAATATTGACAGCCAGATTCTCCACATCACCYGAATTGCTCTAAACATCTGCAGTTTTGTCACACGGGTAGGTATTCCAGCAAGTGCTGTCAGTGTAGATGTGGCTGTATCTTCCACAACCCAAGAAACCATTGTAATGTGGCAGCTAAACAGAGACCATCTCCATGATGATTATTACAACCTTCATTCCATTATCTTTTATTACAGACATACTTTAATATTTTTTTGAAGTTAAAATTACTAGCTTTGACATTTCCAAAAGATTGTGTCACTTTCTTTCTGCCAAAACTACTTAGAAGAATAAATTCCCAGAAAAATTTGATTTTTGTACAGTTGGATTTCTCAACTAATCACAAATTTACTGACATATTTTCCCACTCTTTGTTGTCATATCTTATCACAGATGAAAACCCAGTCCCTGAGCTTTGCTAAATGYTTTTCTCTCCATTGAAGGAGACAGCTTTAACTTTCAAATACATGCAGCAGTATATTCTACTTGATTGTGTTGATTTATCCACGTGTACTCTTCCGGCATAGTCTTGTGTCCACCTGCTGTGCCTCAGGTCCTGACCCCTCTCCTGGACCTGCTCCAGATAATGCAGTGCCCTCCATGTGGGGAGGGGTGTAGGTCAGGATGGGAAAGGAGCTACACTCCCACCTTTCCCATTTTTCTTCCTTTTGYCTCCCCTGCAAAGCACACAAATGAAACCACAAGTTGAGGATCACTGGGAAAGAAAAATTGGCTAGAAGGCCTTTGGGAAGAAGTCAGATATTTGGGAAGAAAGGTGAAGGGTGTTTCAGCACCTTTGACACCATCTCTTATAATCAGACTAAAATTGACAGGTAAGATCTGGTTTGAGAGAGAAGGGAAAAAACACAACCTCCATCCAAATATCCTTGATCCTTGGCCATCCAGCAAAGTAAAGCAGCACCATGCCAGGGGGTGAGTAGTTGAGATATTTGAGTGCCTGGTATCAGAAAGACTGACATGATACCATTCATCTTTACTTCAACAGGCAAAATAGTTGAAAAAAAATCTCTTGCCTAAATTAAAAGACAAAAGTCTCTAAATTTCTTTCTGAATTTTCTGAAGTCCTGTCAGGAGAGAAGACTATGCAAAAAAAACCAAAACCAAAACCCAAATACCCAAAACCAAACAAAACTCCACCCAACAACAATCACCAAACCAAACCACCTCCCCCCCAAAAAAACAAACAGAACAGTAAAGAGAACTTTCCAAGTTTACATGAAGATGTTCATGAATGCACAAAATTAAAACAGTCCATACAGGGCCCAAATATGAAAACCTTAAATTGAAAGCAACCAGTGACATAAAGAAACTCATGACAGAAGTTACTAATGTGCTGAAAACCAACAKAGGGACAAATACACAGTAAAGCAAGAAATCCCCCTTCAGCCAGTATTCAASTAATTATTAACATGCTTATGAAGTTAGTAAAGAACAGTTTAATTACAGGTTTTTGTCAAATCTCTTGGGCAACATGTCTTTCAATTTTGTTGCTTAGTTGTGCAATCATAACTTTAATTAATATTCTTTAGATGGCTCCRTGTTAAACAAGAAATTGAAACACCACAAGTAAGAGCAATTCTAAATGATAYGATTAGCTGTGCAGCAATTATGCTAATAGGCATTGCTGCACATGTATCAACACTGTAAATCCTCCCAAAGTTTGGGAAATGAATGAAATGGAGTTGTTAATCCATCAGATATATGCCACTCATTTTGATTCAAGAAGGTAAGAGAGGGATGAGAACTTGGTCTGTATTCAGATCTTTTGGG